TATAATAATGCCTGGGGATCAGTCAGATGAATTGGCAGTGTATATAATAAGACGAGGTCAACTGAAGGCACAGTTAACCAAGTTCCAAACATATATAGAGGAGTTAGACGTGGATTGTGGCAACAATATCATAAAGTTAAGGTTGCGTCTAGAGAAAATAAAAGAACTTTGGACCGAGTTTGATTTGATTCAAAATAATATCGAAATAAAAGATACCGGTAATGATCAATTAGTCTACAGAGATACGTTTGTAGATTTATACTTCGATGTGGTCGCAAAGGCGGAAACTATGGTGCAAGGTTCAAACTCTGTGTGTAGTATGAACAAGGTGAGTGTCCCAGGCAGTTATAACGATATGCAAGTAGGTGGTCCTGCGATAAAAATGAAACCGTTAGAAATACCTATATTCTCGGGAAAATTTGAAGAATGGTCTACATTTAAGGATTTATTTCTAACCATGGTGCATTATTCAGAAATAAATAGTGTACAAAAATTTGTTTATTTACGTATGCATTTGTCTGGGGACGCATTATCTCTAATACAAAATGTGGTAACTACAGCTGATAATTACTCTGATGCATGGAACACTGTCGTAGAGCGTTACGATAATAAGCGTATACTCATACAATCGTATACAAAAAATATCTATGAACTAGAACTAATGCAAAAGGAGTCAAGTGTTCGTTTAAGAAAGTTTACGGCAGACTTAAATATGAATATGCAAGCTTTAAAAGCGTTAGGTCATGATCCTGATGCCTGGGGTGCGCTATTATTACATGTAATTTTAGTCAAGTTAGATTACAACACAATACGCAATTGGGAATCTATAGCGGCAAAAAATACATTGCCAGCTGTAAAGGAGTTGATTACATTTTTAAATGAACGGTGTCAAATATTAGAGGCAATTGATAGCTCAAAAAATTTAGCGTATAAATCAAATAATATGCAGCTTAAGCAAAATAATCGCAATAAAAATGACACAATCACGCAATTCAATAATAATAAAAAATTTAACGCATTTGTGACTACTAATCGCTTAGCTTGTTATTTTTGTAAGGAACCGCATCCCATTTATAAGTGTCAAAAGTTTATTGCACTCAGTGCAAGTGAGAGAACACTAAAGGTCGATGAACTAAATCTGTGTCGTAATTGCCTTGGTACGGGGCATACGGATGTAAAATTGTGTTGGTCGAAAAAAGTATGTTCCAAATGTAAAAAAATGCATAATACGTTGTTGCATGCGGATGTAAAACAAGACGTACAAAATGCGTCTATGTCGAATGTGTCCAATGAAGAGGTGGTGGTTAGTCACGCCGCCCGTGTTCAAACGCGCGCACAAGTGCTATTAGCGACAGCAGAAGTACACATAGTAAATGCGTGTGGCGAGCTGGTTGTATGCAGGGCATTATTAGATAATGGTTCACAAATCAATATTTTGACCGAAGCAATGTCACAGCGATTAGGACTGGCGCGAACAAAAATAAACAAATCGATATCAGGTATTAATGAGGTGGTGAGCCGTGCCACGTATGAGGTGACAGCGTCTATTAAGTCACGTATAAATAATTATTCCACTACCATAAATATGTTGGTACTACCAAAAATTACTGGAAACCTCCCTACCAGCAATATTGATACCACAAAATGGTCGATACCCAAAGATATAAAGTTGGCTGATTCCAGATATTTTAAACCTGAAAAAATAGATTTACTGATTGGTGCTGACTCGTATTGGGAAATAATGTGTACAGAAAATTTCAAGCTTCATACAATGGGTCCGTACTTACAGCAGACAATGTTCGGCTGGATTATTGTTGAAAATTTGAAATCGTATATGACAGCGCTGTCATGCAACAAAAGTGAGCGACAACCACTGATGGTGGTTCTCTTCTTTTCTCACTTTGTGCCGAACAACGGAGGTAGATAGCGCTTCCGTTAACGTTTCGATGATTTTATGTACAATAATGAACGAAATCGCCTTCATTAAAACCGTCAGCCGTCATAACGTCGTTCACGTTTAGTATTTTGTAGTTAAGAAATTATTAAATGATCAATTTATATAGCTTACGATTGAAAATGTAAAACAAGGATTTTCTTAAATAGTTCATAATATAACTAAAAAATGTAAAAAATATATAAACACAGTTATTTTTTACAGACATTTTAAGTGTTTAAATTTAGACGATATCACTTATTGAAACTAAGAATAACGATTTTAGTTATTTTATTGTAATTTAAAATACTATTCAAGGGTAGGTACCGATATGAACTTTTAGAGTATTTTATTACATTTTATTCACACAATGATATTTTCATAATTCATGATTAATAGTAAAATAAATTACTTTAATCAAAATAACATTATCAAATATAGGTACCTACTTGGTAATATTATAGTCTTCGCTCAGAATCGTATTTCGTATACAATGAATTTATATCATTGAATTAAAATTTAACAGCATCCATTATAGTGGCCCACTTGTAAACTACTATACAGCAGAGTGGTATCCACTCATACACGCTTTTTAGACCTTAATATATTTACCTTTATATCGATAAAATATCTAAATATATTTTTTATCAAGTCCTGATAATAAACAACTTATATTTTTGATTATAACTGTCAAGATATAGAATAGTGCTTCGGCGCTGTAAGAAAAACTGTTGTTGTACCATCATTGTTCCTATTTCCGATTTCAATATTCATAATTGGTCAGTGGATATTTTATTTCTGTCGCAGTCGTTCAATAAAAAGTAATATTTTTTGAAATCATGGGATTTTAAACAACTGACTTTAAGGGTTACAGCTTTTCTAAAAGCAGTTATTATTTCTTCAGAAGTGTAGGTTTATAGGGTAGCTATATATTTTTTTTTAATATAGGTACTTATATTTTTTATACCAATTCTTTCGATATAATATCATCGTGGCAATGAAGTTATCATTGGACAATAAATACCTAAAGAAACAATCCAGTACAAAATATAATATACACTTAACAGTCAGTTTTTTTGTTGACTGTCTCGTAAAGCCATACATAATAATTATTTAGTTTCTATAATTTCATTGAAGAAATTACTGTGAAGTGATTTTCGATTCTGTTGTATGCTGTGAGTAAAAACTGTTAATATTTATTCCGTGCACATAATATGCGAAATTATACATATCTGTTTCTGGACAGGGGCGTCAATTGGAGTAAAATCATAGGATACCAAGGATATTTTTTATTCGATTGCACGTGGCCTAATGAAGCCTGAGAGCAGTGGGTGGAGAAAATAATAAATTTGGTGTGGTAGCAATATTGCTATACCTCAGTGACCCCAGTACCTCACTACCATGTAGTGAAACTTATGGCAGTAAATATATACTGTATAATATTAAACTAGTATAGAAATATTGATAAGAAAATAATAACAAATATTAATGATATATTAATGCTGTAAAAAATGCACGACGCATGTGACGACGCACGTGTACGAGATTTTGAGCCTTTGCTTCTAATGTACCTACCCACGTCTCATTCAGAACATCTAGGACGATGATATATTTTTCGTCCAAACACTGTATGTGCCCAATCGCTCTTGATATCTCTGAGAAACAATTAAATGTTAGCAAACGACAAAATGTATTACCTATACTTTATGATTCAAAATTTTAGTAAAAAATATAAGTTTAAAATTAGTTTTCTTAATTTCTTTAATTTGGTAGAGGGTGCGTTCGTCCCGTCGCCCAATTCACGAGCCGCCCTTGGGTATTTTAACTATAATTTATTAATAGGTAATGTAAATAATATCTGTTTCCCTGATATTGTTATTGTTCAATTTTTGAAACTTGGAAATTTACTATCCGCCGTCATACATAAAGCTACTTAGTATTTAAAGATAATACATTATTTATCCGATGAACAATTTCACTACCTCACTTATTTGTATTATAAATAATAAAATTCTTAACAATTTTATGGTTTCAGAAAAATGAAAAATATGTATCATATTTACTCAGCTAGCGGCTGAGTCCCTTCAAATTATTTTACATCCTTTTATGATTTTAAAGGTGTATTTATTATTATTACAAAAACGTTCTGTTTTCAACTAATTAGATATTTGTGTTTTAGCTTAATTTTGATAGTTCATTATCACCAATAAATTTTCTTAAGTTATTATTTCTAGAAATTACATATTTATGCCATTTGTTCCTCACTTGCTACTTGTTTATTTCTAGCTTGAGAATTAGAATATAATATTATAATATGCACTTACTTCATATTATGCGAGTAATGATTATGATCAGAATTAAATTTCAGACAAAGGTATAGATATCTAAAATGACACTTTATAGTAACATTTTTATTTTTAAAAGTTAATTATTTTTAAGTTACAAATTTAAATTAATTTTGTAACATCGAATAAATAGTTGATGTTATCTTGGAAAATTAGATACATAATAAGTACATTCATATTTTATATTTTATCTGCAGCTTGAACAATACAGTGGTGAGCTGTATCACTGTAGATTCTATATGGCGCGTTTTTGGGGGATTTTTCCTCTCCAACACTGAGTGGTAGTAGCAAATACTATATACGACAATACGGGACAGCTATGGTAAAAACTGGCGTCCAGTTCTTATCAGTTCCCCCCGAGATTGTAGTTGTGGTTGCCGTAATTTACCCCTTAAAAATAAATGTTATATTATATGAAAAAAAATGTTTATACCAACTAATTATTACTGCATTAGTTTCAATATATTTCCATTTTTTTTTTCATCTGTTTGATCTGGGAGTCGGTGACGAAACTGCTTTTGCATTGCTTCGATCTAATAATATTTCATCCAAAAATACAAGTTTTGTTTCTATAATTTATTCTTTATTGTAATTCTTTTTCAATCAAATTTTATAAAATAAATAAGAAAAGTATAACTACATTTTATTTACATATTTCAATATTTGTACTGATAATTACTAACAAAATAAATTTAACTTTAACATAATGTTAGGTAGGCATATTAAATATGAGTAATTTTTTTTAACTTTTTATTATTTAAATATTTATATGGTACAGAAGAGTCATTGCACTTTTTTACATAACTATTTATACTGACATTTAAATACTTATCAACAAATGTATCTTCACAGTTTTCACAAATATCCAATGTATATCTTTTACAAATAGTTTTAATTAATATTTTTTGATTTCTTTTAATATTTTCTATTTTTATAAAAAGTAATTCTTCAATTGATGAATTGAATAATGCAGTTATATGCTTTGTATATTCAAGTGTTTTTATAAAAGGGTACAATAAATTACAATCATTGTATTCCTTCATATTGATTAAGGTATTATCTATGTTGAAAGAAGCACTATTCTCAGATTTGTTACTGGATGCCAATTTTTCAACACAAGCCTTATGAGTTAATTGAGAACAAACCCAACCTGTTATATATGCTATACCATTTGCTGTCTCGTTATCCATAAGAATGTAGTTAATATTCATATTGCTAAGAAAATCTTCATAATTGTTGGAAAAATCAAAATCACTGTCAGCCAACTTATGCAATTGTACTTTATTCTTTACTCTTAGGTCTTTGGATAATGCTAAAAACTTTGATGCATCTTTTTCACAATTTGCATTATTAGATGGATTAATTAACATGTTGCACATAGACATTCGAATTGCAGAAAAAAATGTTGATGCATCTGGAGTTACATTATTACCTCCTTTTGATCTTAAAATTGAAAATAAACATTCAATACAATCTTGGGTTAGACGTCTGGTTAATAAATAATCAATTTCATATTTTATGTTTAATTCATTGTATAAGAGTTTAATACAATTAATATTTTCTTGCCAACCAAGTATGCAAGGGGGGATATTTTTTCGTTTATTATTAACTTTAAGAGTTGAAAGAAATATTTGAGCTTCTTATAAAAATGACCAATGTTTTGAATTTCTTGTTATTGGCCTTTTAAGTACAACTGATTCACTCATTTTAATACTATTAAAACAGTCGAATATGTCGTTAAAAAATTTAACAAATTTTGCAGTAAATGTTGATTTATTATTCAAACGATTAAATGAAACTAATGTTAAAATTCCTGCACTAACTGAGTTACTAAATGTCTGTGCAGCTAAACAAACTCTCATGGGTGAGAAGGGTGGAAGCTCTATATGAATTTTTTTTAATTTACTTGCTAATAGTGGTTTAATTTTACTATCTATATTGTAAAAGTCTTCAATATATTTCCAACAATAACTTTCATGTCCATTTGTAAAAGTATATTTTTTTAAATTATTCCTAACAGATTTTAGTAAGTGTGGAGGATCGTGCATAAAAAATATATTTTCATTATTATAAGTGATGTAAGGTTTTTCCATTGTCACTCCAAACAATTTTCGCATTTTCATATTATTTGATCCTTGGTCACAAATTATAACCTTTGGAATCAAACCACATTCTATTAGTTTTTGAATAGTATGTATCATAATTTGTTTAAGACGATCACCCGATACAGGACCACTAGAAACAAAAAATCCTAATATTTGTTTCCATGGTAAGACAAGGCTTTTAATCATTATTACTAACGCTTGATTACCATGTTTTAGTGACAACTGATTTTCAAAAATATTTGAACCATAATCTTCAAAACCAGTAAATATATCATTCTGTGAATTGTATGATATTAATTTTTTTAATGACATTTCATCCATAATTATTGAAACTAATCTTTCTTTTAGTGGAGCTGTTTTAAATTTTAAACTTAAGATATTCAGAATGTTTTCATTTATACCACATGATACATCTAAGCCCTGCAACCATCTCCTCAGTGATCTAACAGCAGGTAGATTAAGGTATGATCTCATAAATTTATAGCCTACAGGCGAGTGGTAATATAGACCCAGCGCAAATGACTTTTCTGTTTCTTTGTATCGTTTTGCACTTTTTTTCAATTGACCTAACCGAAATTCAGACCTAGCTATCATGTTAGATCTTAAAAATTTATCCATTTTGGATTTTTTGTCATACACTTCTTTTTTATTTTTTTGTTTCAGTTTTAATATTGTTTTTTTACCCTTGCATATTAATTTCTGAGCATTTCTTAACTTAACCTTCAGTTGTTGGATCATACTTTCTTGATGTTCTACAATATTTCTTGTTTTAACAGACATAGAAAGTACTTCTAAAACAAAAAATGTATGTATGTATTCATTACTCAGTTATGATTAAATCATAAGATACTTTTTTTAAAAATGGTGACATCAATATGATGAAAAAAAAACATAATAGTAAATTATAAGATAAAATCAAAAGTTGACCAAGAAAAAAAGCACTTAAACCAACATAATGCATAACATACCAATAAACCATTACACAAAACCAAGATCGTAGACAAAACTAATATATAATATTATATAACAATTATATTTATGTAATTATGTAACATTTATCCACAAAACATTCACAATACACATTTATAAATAATAATTTTATGATTATTATTTTAATAGCAATTTACATATGTCTGAGTAAATAATTTTTTTCTCTTGTAAATCTAAATTCTAGTACTTATTCTTACAATTAGTAGTAAATACATTTTAATACAATATTACAAAAAAATACAACACAAACCATGTCCCAGACTGGAAATGAAACATCTTATAAATATTCAAACCTGCTTTAGATTCATCCATAATATTATGTTCATCTTTTGGTAACATATTTGCTAAATTTGATGTTGATGCATCTACGTCTGATCCAAAAAGTGATCGTTTTACTGGATTCTGATGCATCTTACATTCTTCAGTTAAAAAACTATTTTCCTCGGAAACTTTTGTGGTAATGTTTTTTTTTGAACTTGTGAGTTTTTTAGGAGTTGTTAAACGATCAAATTTTTTATATATAGAAAATACTGGACTGTGTATTTGATTTTGTTTCTTTCTATTTTCAATAATATTATTGAAATTTAATTTTAAACCTAAAAAACAATTGTTTGTTATTTATAGTAGTTAGGTATAAGTAGGTATATATTTTATAATCAAATGTATCAAACCCTTACTTTTCAACAATGGTTTAGCTAAAGGGGGAGATGTAACTGGTAAATTTAATGAAGGTACTACACCATATTTCAATCTAAAAAAATATTCATAAACAAAACATTGATAATATAAAACTAATACTATATATATAGGTATGTATAACTTACAGTCTTCTACTAGAACCCCTGTTTGATACAAAATCTTCTGGGTTAAAATGGTTTGAACAAATACTATAATTTAAACTCAGATGTAAATGTCCAAAAGTTCTCATAACTTCATTTATTCTTGAATTGTTTGCAAACTTAACCCATTTTTGAGAACTGTAATTTGTAATATTATAAACAATAACAATTCTAGTATATTATGATTTAAGAGTGATTTTTATAATAAACAAATACTTACATATGAACGTCTTTTGGAAATGAATGAAAAGACAATCTCTGTTGACCACTTAAATCATTTTTACAATGATTTATTGCGCATACTTTTTTGGACACCATTTTTAAACAGTTAAAAGTAATACAACTTAAAAGTAATTACTACGCCGTTAACTTATGAATTTTGTTAATTGATAAAAAATTAACAGTATACGTAATACTTAGTATACTTCAAAAATGGTGGGAAGTATTATCATATTTTAAGGAGTAAAGTTAGGCAATTTAATATCAATCTCGGGGGGAATTGATAAGTCCGGTCGCCAGGTTTTACAGTAGTAAGTGTCCCGTATTGTCGTATATAGTATTTGGTAGTAGCTTGAACAGTACAGACAAAGCTGTACCACTCTAACCTAACCTAACACTGCAGGGTAAGGAGAGGAATGGTATATCAGTTGCGAGGACCGTAGTTCGATCGGCGTATATACGGCGCGTATTCGACGGGTGCGTTCGACGTAGGTATTTTGTACGGTGAAATTCAGCCGGTATATCGGTGGTTCTCCCACTACTGCTACCATGCAGTATGCAAGCCCGGATTAAAGGGGGGGGCCAAGGGGGGCACGGTCCCGGGGCCCATTGATTTTGGGGGCCCATCTTTATCACCAACATATATTTTTTTAACGCGTCCAATACAGTTTTCAAAAAAAAAAAAATTATTTAAGTAGGTAGGTATAGTAGGTAAATTATTATTAATAATTATAAAATAAATATGTTCTCAATTTTATACCACCAAAAATTACTATAAATAATGAACTATGTTTGCCAATAATTTTGTTTGTTTGTTTGTTTGTTTGTTTTTTTTTTTGAACATTTTAGATTACCAATTTAACTATTTAAGTATATAGAAGGTAGTTATAAGAAATATTATTTAGCTCTTGTAAATTAGGTATTTCAGTTAAAAGTATTAATGCATACTAGTGATGATCAAAACAAGACCAAGACCAAGACTTTCAAAATCTTGGTCTTGGTCTTGAGCAAGACTCTTGCAAGACTTGCTATTTTTACAAAATATATAAAAAATAACCAAATACCTATTATAGCTGTGTCACACATAATAATATACATTATATATTACGTACCATTATTAATTAAACCATTTATATTACTTATCTAAATCTAATTATTTAAAAGACGAAAGGATTTTGTTCTGTGATCATTTTTTAATATTTGTTATATTTTATTATTAATTATTATTTATTATACCTAAACATGTATTACGTATCATTATTAATTAAACCATTTATATTACTTATGAAATTATTTTATATATTTTATTGTACTAATAAACTGGGTTTAAATAATAATATTTGCCTATTAGCTTAGATAGTATGTACAATGTTTTTATCAGACTTAGGCAGAAATTTTATTTAAGATGCCCCCCCCCCCCCCGTAAATATGTTCTAGATCCGCGCCTGGCTGTGTGTAGGTTTTTTGTTATGATCTCTAAGATGAAACTTATCGATTTTGGGAAAATAAAATAATTTTTCAGTAATTGTTAATTAGTATGAACAACTATATGTTATTTTGTAATATCAATTCCCATTATATTTCTATGGAATAATCTTTTTTTCAATAATTCGCCATTTCCTCGAACACTGGTCAAATTTCATAACAATATAAATAAATTCTTTTTATTTTCGTTATAAATTATTAGTTAATGAAATCTAGATACAGTAATGTGTTTTCGGGGAAAAAAAAAAATTCGCAAGAGTCTTGCGAGACCGCAAGACCAAGACCAATTTTGATCGTCACTAATGCATACTTTAGAAGACCATAGTTAATAACTTAGCTAACCAAAATTGATCATTTGACTGTCAAAATTTTTAGAAAAAAAGCTATAGTGGAATCCATAAAAAAAACATAGTGGTTACCATTTGAAAAAATAAAGTCGATTTTATTATTGGTACAACCGCGTGTTTAAAAATGTTGAATATGTTATAAAATAAATTGACTGTTAAAAATAAAGAAACGATTGTCTTTTTTTGTTTTAACGAGATTCCATATCATCGATCCATACCTAATTGTTAAAAAAAAACAAGCATACAATGACATAAGATACACGATTTATATTTTTTTATTTTTGTATAGTAACAAATTATACAATAATAGATATAAAGTCATTAATATGTAACGATACAATTATTTTGAAGTTAGAGTTGAAAGGGGGCCCACTAAGTGTATGGTGTCCCGGGGCCCAATTGATCCTTAATCCGGGCTTGGCAGTATGGTGGTTACTATGTTCGACTTATTAGTTATATTTTTCCTTTCCTGAACTGTATCTTGTGTGTTTGGTTATATGAATTCACGTTGTGTGTTTATATTCTGTTTAATGTGGATGTTGTAGATTTAAAGTTCGCCGTAAGTTGTACTTAAAGTAGCGAAAATGTTGGCTGTCGTAAAGTTGAGTTGTTGCCACGCACTCTATACTCAACTCTTATCACTAGCGATAATATGTCTTATTAGCTGTTACGGCGGAAACGCCATGCGTAATCTGATATGATTGTCGATAACGATGGGCCAAATATCATTGGAGATTGTATTTTGATTATACCTACTATGTGTGTGGGTCAGTCGTTGTTGTCGAGTTGTCGGCTACGTACTCGCAAAAATAACAGAAAATATACAGTCCATTTAATTATAATAAAAAATTGTTGTACATTCATTTATAAGACAACATTTTGGTCCTTCGAACCGGATTGACTAGCGATATACATTGTGATATTACGTCCCGCGAATTCAGTATCGTACAGTGGACGAATAGCCGGTAAAATTATAATTTATTGTCTAGTTCAAAGTGTATGTGTTTTATTGGTTAAAAGTAAATATAACGCTCCGCGGGAACAGTATCCGTGCAGTAGCAATACAACCAAATTGATCAATCAAGGAAGGAAAATCGTCAAATCAAGCGTGTTTTCAACTATCTAATATTAAGGAATATTAGTGTAACACAATCGTACGAGTGTCGAGCGCTGTGGTGTGCAGTGGTTGCAGTGCATTCAATATACAGCCTAAGGTGAGTGAGCTAAAATTAATTATTAGAAAATAAGGGCATTATTTCCTCTCATTTTTCCCTTGTAAGCACATTCTTAAAAAAAAAAGTATAATAATGCCTGGGGATCAGTCAGATGAATTGGCAGTGTATATAATAAGACGAGGTCAACTGAAGGCACAGTTAACCAAGTTCCAAACATATATAGAGGAGTTAGACGTGGATTGTGGCAACAATATCATAAAGTTAAGGTTGCGTCTAGAGAAAATAAAAGAACTTTGGACCGAGTTTGATTTGATTCAAAATAATATCGAAATAAAAGATACCGGTAATGATCAATTAGTCTACAGAGATACGTTTGTAGATTTATACTTCGATGTGGTCGCAAAGGCGGAAACTATGGTGCAAGGTTCAAACTCTGTGTGTAGTATGAACAAGGTGAGTGTCCCAGGCAGTTATAACGATATGCAAGTAGGTGGTCCTGCGATAAAAATGAAACCGTTAGAAATACCTATATTCTCGGGAAAATTTGAAGAATGGTCTACATTTAAGGATTTATTTCTAACCATGGTGCATTATTCAGAAATAAATAGTGTACAAAAATTTGTTTATTTACGTATGCATTTGTCTGGGGACGCATTATCTCTAATACAAAATGTGGTAACTACAGCTGATAATTACTCTGATGCATGGAACACTGTCGTAGAGCGTTACGATAATAAGCGTATACTCATACAATCGTATACAAAAAATATCTATGAACTAGAACTAATGCAAAAGGAGTCAAGTGTTCGTTTAAGAAAGTTTACGGCAGACTTAAATATGAATATGCAAGCTTTAAAAGCGTTAGGTCATGATCCTGATGCCTGGGGTGCGCTATTATTACATGTAATTTTAGTCAAGTTAGATTACAACACAATACGCAATTGGGAATCTATAGCGGCAAAAAATACATTGCCAGCTGTAAAGGAGTTGATTACATTTTTAAATGAACGGTGTCAAATATTAGAGGCAATTGATAGCTCAAAAAATTTAGCGTATAAATCAAATAATATGCAGCTTAAGCAAAATAATCGCAATAAAAATGACACAATCACGCAATTCAATAATAATAAAAAATTTAACGCATTTGTGACTACTAATCGCTTAGCTTGTTATTTTTGTAAGGAACCGCATCCCATTTATAAGTGTCAAAAGTTTATTGCACTCAGTGCAAGTGAGAGAACACTAAAGGTCGATGAACTAAATCTGTGTCGTAATTGCCTTGGTACGGGGCATACGGATGTAAAATTGTGTTGGTCGAAAAAAGTATGTTCCAAATGTAAAAAAATGCATAATACGTTGTTGCATGCGGATGTAAAACAAGACGTACAAAATGCGTCTATGTCGAATGTGTCCAATGAAGAGGTGGTGGTTAGTCACGCCGCCCGTGTTCAAACGCGCGCACAAGTGCTATTAGCGACAGCAGAAGTACACATAGTAAATGCGTGTGGCGAGCTGGTTGTATGCAGGGCATTATTAGATAATGGTTCACAAATCAATATTTTGACCGAAGCAATGTCACAGCGATTAGGACTGGCGCGAACAAAAATAAACAAATCGATATCAGGTATTAATGAGGTGGTGAGCCGTGCCACGTATGAGGTGACAGCGTCTATTAAGTCACGTATAAATAATTATTCCACTACCATAAATATGTTGGTACTACCAAAAATTACTGGAAACCTCCCTACCAGCAATATTGATACCACAAAATGGTCGATACCCAAAGATATAAAGTTGGCTGATTCCAGATATTTTAAACCTGAAAAAATAGATTTACTGATTGGTGCTGACTCGTATTGGGAAATAATGTGTACAGAAAATTTCAAGCTTCATACAATGGGTCCGTACTTACAGCAGACAATGTTCGGCTGGATTATTGTTGGACCAGTGAATGAACGTTCATCAAAAAACAATACAACAGCTTGCTTTGTGGTAGGTGAAGGTAATTATTCAAATTTGGAAAAGGATATTGAGGAATTTTGGAAAATTGAAGAATGTTCCACGGAAAATACAGACGAAACGTCCGAAGACGCAATGTGTCGCAAACATTTTCAAGATAACGTATCAGTTGATTCAACGGGAAAATTTGTCGTAAAATTGCCGTTTCGCGATAACGTAGATCAATTAGGCGAGTCATATAATATCGCGCTAAAACGATTCTTATTACTAGAGCGACGTCTCGGCAAAAATCCCGAGCGATATAGTCAATATAAATTATTTATGGAAGAATATGAACACTTGGGACATATGGAAAAAGTTGATGAGGATAAGGATTTATCAGTGAAAACATATTATATGCCACACTCTTATGTTCTTAATGAACATAGCCGAACAACAAAGTTGCGAGTAGTGTTTGACGGTTCGTGCAAGTCAGATTCGGGGCTATCGTTAAACGATGTATTGTTAAAGGGCCCTATGTTACAAAACGACCTCACGTTAATCGTAGCTAGATTTCGTACCCATAAATATGCATTTTCAGCTGACATAAAAAAAATGTATAGGCAGGTATGGGTCGATAACGCGGATCGAGACTATCAGCGTATATTGTGGCGTGGTGACCCTAATGAGCCAATTAACAAATATAGATTATGTACAGTAACGTACGGAACAGTACCTGCAAGTTTCTTATCAGTGGCATGTCTTCATAAATCAACGGACATAAATACAATGTGTCCCAAGGTAGCACAGGTAATAAAAAATGATTTTTGTGTCGACGACTGTTTGACAGGAGCGTCAACGTTATCGGAGGCGTTAAATTTACGTAATGAATTGATTAAATGCCTAAGTAAAAATGGATTTGAATTAAGCAAGTGGACAGCAAATCATGTAGATTTATTAAAAAATATACCAGTTCCAAATGAAAATTCACTATATTCATTAAATATGGAAACTGAAGCAATAAAGACATTAGGTTTGTATTGGGAAGCAAACTCTGATTGTTTCATTTATAAAGTATCATTACCAGTGGCTGAACATAAAATAACTAAGCGAGGTATTTTATCGAATATTGCGCGTTTGTTCGACCCGCTCGGATTCCTCGGGCCTGTTATCGTAATCGCTAAAATCCTCATGCAGCATTTATGGAAACTAAAAATAAATTGGGATGATGAATTATCAATAGAAATGCAAATGCAATGGAAAAAATATTTAAATAATTTAGATCAGTGTAATAATCTTAGTATCCCACGATGGTTGCAATGTGATGACGCAGAAAAAATATACGTACACGGATTTTCCGATGCATCGCTTAAAGCGTATGGGGCTTGTATATATGTAGTGTGCACTAGCTCAGACGGTAGTCGCCATTCTCAGTTAGTATGCGCCAAATCAAGAATTGCACCAATAAATATATTAACAATACCGCGGTTAGAACTTTGTGCCGCAGTACTATTATCAAAATTAATAAAAAAAATTGTTCCAGCGTTACGAATTAACGTTACAAATACGTATTGTTGGAGTGATTCCAAAGTAGTATTAGCATGGATCGCGGCGGATGCAATGCGTTGGAAACCGTTCGTAGCCAACCGTGTAAGTAAGGTTCAAAGGTTCTCGTCACAGTGGTCATGGTCGTATGTTAATACAAAGGAGAACCCGGCCGACATGTTATCCAGGGGGTGTGATGTACAAGATCTACAAAATTGTACGTTGTGGTGGAACGGACCAGCGTGGTTGATGGGCGAGCAGGCGAGTTGGGAAACACTTTATCAAATACACGAAGACGAGGATACAATATGCGAAGCGCGTAAGCAGTCGAACTCAGTGGTAATGGTTACTGAAGTAACAAAAAATAATTATTTTGTTCAACTGTCTGAAAAATATTCAAAATTAAGTCGTTTTCAGCGTGTGTTTGCATACACATTAAGGTTTGTGCATAATATTTCAAGTAAATTAAAATCAAAAGAAAAATGCTTAGGTCCACTCGGTAATGACGAAATTCAAAAATCAGTAAAAATATTTATTAAACTCTTACAAAATCAGTTTTTTGGTGAGCCATTAAGTAATAAAAAATTGCAGCCATTAAGCCCATTCTTCGATAAAGAAAATATATTACGTGTTGGTGGTCGCCTTGGTAATGCGACGGACCTAGCTCATGACCAGCGGTATCCTATTCTGATTCCATACGCGTGCCATTTTGATACCCTAATTTTTAGAAACGAACATGAAATGTCCTTACATGCCGGGCCCCAAGCAATGTTAGCGAACGTGCGCTTAAAATATTGGCCGATAAATGGGCGTCGAACAGCTCGAAAAGTCGCCCACCAATGTGTAATTTGTTTTAAAAATAAACCTAATATCGTAGAGCCAATTATGGGCATTTTACCCACACCAAGAGTAAACCGGCCACTACGTAGTTTTGAAAATACGGGGGTTGATTATGCTGGGCCAATACTGATGAAATCACATGCGCGTAGAAATGCACCGTTGCAGAAAGCATATATATGCATTTTTATATGTATGGCAAGTAAAGCTGTGCATATAGAACTAGTATGTGATCTCACCACTGATGCTTTTATAGCCGCCTTGCACCGATTTATCTCAAGACGAGGAAAGTGCGGTACCATTTTTTCAGATAATGGTACAAATTTTGTAGGTGCTAATAAGAAATTAAGCGATTTGTCTGCACTTCTTCTCTCAGAACAACACAAAAACCGCGTCCAAGACACATTAGCGTTACAAGAAATTAATTGGAAGTTTATACCACCACGTTCCCCACATTTTGGTGGTTTATGGGAGGCAGCCGTCAAGGCCGTGAAAAAACACTTAAATCGTACCATTGCAAATTCACGATTAACGTACGATGAACTATATACTGTATTAACCCAAATAGAATGTTGCTTAAACTCGCGTCCTTTAATTCCTTTATCCGAGGACCCTATGGATTTGGATGTCCTTACTCCTGCCCATTTTCTAATAGGTAGCTCACTGCGCGCACTGCCTGAACAGGATGTAGGAGGTATGCCAATAAATAGATTATCTCGGTGGCAAAGAGTTCAGCAGCTTGTGCAACACGTGTGGTCGCGATGGAGCAAGGAGTATTTGGGGCAACTGCAAGGACGAAACAAATGGTCCAAATCTAGAGGGCCATCCATTCAACTGGGCACACTGGTATTAATAAAAGAAAATAATTTGCCGCCGCTAAAGTGGTTATTGGGCAGAGTTACAGATGTTCATCCGGGACCTGACGGTGTCGTGAGAGTAGCCACGGTATATACAAATTCGGGTTTCAAAAGACGCGCTGTTCGATTACTATGTCCCTTACCTATAGAAAATGATAGCACACATGCTCCGTGCTAATTTATATATAATTTGGTTTGTTATACACTTATCATTTAAAATTCACTATTTTTAAAAATTATATAGGTCAGCAAGAATCAAATATGAGATATCAATTTCGCATTTATATATACCTATTTGTTAATCTAATGACCAACTATTGCTATCTTAGTATTGTGTATTATTTTTTGTTTCTTATAACCTGTTTGGTATAGATATGATTTATTTTGAAGCCAAATAAATGGCATAATATATGTTATTATTATTATATTTAAAAAATAGAAAGATTATTGTGAAGTCGCATTTCGCGCGTATGTATTTATTTGTTAGTAGTATAATTTAATAACGCTTTGATGTTGTATAATTTTATTTTTTTTTACACATTTTGTCTTACACTTTGAAACTGTGTTTCAAGGTGGGTCCATGTTACGGCGGAAACGCCATGCGTAATCTGATATGATTGTCGATAACGATGGGCCAAATATCATTGGAGATTGTATTTTGATTATACCTACTATGTGTGTGGGTCAGTCGTTGTTGTCGAGTTGTCGGCTACGTACTCGCAAAAATAACAGAAAATATACAGTCCATTTAATTATAATAAAAAATTGTTGTACATTCATTTATAAGACAACATTAGCACATGAACTGATGTATTTACATTTATATTTATAGTACATATACAAATGTTATATGTGTCTAACTAATGTTTCATTAGTTATATTATACTTACGCTCATTGTCATCTTGCTTTTTTATCGTATTACAACAATGTAATGATTATACGCGGTAGGTATCACGACATGCGTACGAACGTATTCGGCCACCACTAGATAGCGTGAGCTATTTCGAAATACGCTCGTTTTGTCCCGTTACAATTATAATTTAATTTTAGAAGGAATCCATGAACTTTTCTCTTTATATTAGTAATTGGATGGATATGGGTATCAAATTCAATAAGTATTACGTCATTGTTTGTCATACTGGTATTATAATTAAAAACCGAAACTGAAAATATAATTTTAAAAAACGGTATTTTTTTTTAATTCTTTGGATTGAAAAGTTTACTTTACACAAAAGGCGATTCGAACGCTCGATTCATCAAAAAAAAAAATGTATAAACTAAGGATGAACGTGGCCTTGAAACCGATTTTAGAAACCGGTACAAACCGGTACAAACCGTTTAAAAACTGAAACCGAAAACGAAATCTGAAAAAATTGGAAACCGGTATTAAATTCAAAACCGAAACCGACGAAATTGGATACCAGTATACAAAACCAAAACAGAAATTTCATAATACGGGTATTGAAAAATTTAAACCAAAAAAAAAAAAAATAAAAACCTATGTACAAAATCGAAACCGAAACCGAAATTTGTTCAATCGGTTTCAAGCCCTGCTTTAACCTTATCTTTAACATCTCGCAGACATGGATGGCTACAAGTTAGTCAAGAAGTGTCACCTATCGGGGATATTTGGATATATTTAAGGTCACCAACCAAGCACTGAGACCGAGACAAGCGGAGAGACGTGGATTTTTTATGGTGTACGGAACAATGTTAATACTAAGAATAATAATACTCACGACATATTTTAGGAAGGAAAAATGTAATTTATTATTTAAGTTAGCACCAAGAAAGCGGTCAGGCATAAAATTCGGACAAAAAGAGGTAAACAAAAAACAAACATAATAATTGGTAAACCAATAATGATTACACACTACACATATTATAATAGTATAATAATATACAAATGTATACACTATACACCCCACCGGATCCTCTAGACGGTTACCTGGAGTATAGAATAATGGTAATAATAATAATGAAAAATACTAATAATAATAATCATAAAAAGACGGGAATACCGGCTACGGTGTATTGAATATATATATATATAAAGGGAACATTACCAATCACCACAATACGTGTTCCTATTGTTTCCTATTGTATACAATGACGCCCGAAATCGCAGCGACAAAAACGGTGGCTCTACTCCTCCATGCTGTAGTACCAATGGCATGTTAAAAATAAAAGTCGTCGCCCACCGGTTTAGTCCGAAGCAAGACCCACAAAAAGACGAAGGGAGACGGAGACTGCAGCGCGAGTAAGAGAGATAGGGAGAGCATTGTGGATATTATATTTTAAATTAATCGGCCGATATTCTTATACACGGTATCAGTCGGTGTGGCCAGTATTTTTACTGTAATAAAAGGTGATGACAGACAAAAAAATACACACATTATAGTAAAATCAATACATTCATTGCTCAACTCAGAATCTAAAATAATTTAAAGCAATAATACAGTTGTTTTTGTTTTCAAAAATTAAAAGTAGGTACACCATGATACACCACGTCATGTCTAATACAACTGCTGTTTTGTTTTGTAATTGTCCAATCGCGTTCACAGGACCAACATCCCCTTATGAGGTTTTATTTTTTATATACTTACTTTTTACATAGTGACTTAAGCTCTCGTCGACCTGTTGTGTGTTAATTTTTATTTCTGTAGGAGTTTTACGTCAGTAGCCTGTTGGATTTCTTCAGAAACCATAATAAACATCCCCTAGGAATAGTTATCCAAAATTAACTATTTGAATTATTTTATTTTAATGCACTACCATATATTGTATTTTTAATATACATCCTACGCTTTCCGGGTCATAGGTTGGTGACTTATAACTTTACTTTTTAAATCATTTTTGTTTTTACAATCGAGAATTTTTTTTAAAGCAGTCGTTACTTTTGTAGAAGTATAGGATAATAATATATATTTATTTTAATATACCTATTTTTTTTTTTTTGTCAATGTTTTTGATGTATCATAATGACAATGGATTTATTATAAGTTTATGAATAATACAACTATCTATTATAAAATACATAGATTTAAACTTAAAATTGTTCAGTTTTTTCGTTGACTGTCTCTAATACATGTTATCAACAATATGAATGTGCGTGACACATCCGTAGTAAATTATATATTGTAGCCACTGGCAACTACCTAAGTAATAGTTAGAGGATGTAACTGTCTACCTAGTGATTTTGACGCCATGTTAAATTATACCACCACAATTACACTTTTCCAACTTAGATTTAACTTCTACACCTAACCATAATTCTTTTATACTAACATTGTTATAGTCTACCCCAGATTAACACTTTACTAACAATTGACGGTTTCTTTCACCTAAAAAGTGGTGCCTATTCATTTATTTTAATTTTTGTTAAGAAAAAAAATATTTCGATTCTGTTGTATTCTGTGAGTAAAACTTATTATTATTTTTTCAAGAACAATATGATTGTAAAATTTTACATCTAAGTTGAAATATTCATAATAATATCATTCGAAAGATTAATAATAAATATATCTCTTATTTTAATATTTTGTAATCTTGTCCACGTTTGTATGCATTCTGATTGTACTGTAGAAAGTGATTAGTGAGGCACATTATTAATAAAACAATACAACATGAAATATTTAAAATCTGTGCATATCCATTGGCATGTGACAAAAATAATTAATTATAAAGTGGTTACTATTTAAATGCTTATGAGTTAGGTATATGAATCTTTGAAATCAGATGGGATTTTTGATCCTAGTAATCATTTTAGTAATCCTGCGCTAATGACAGGAAACAATTTTTCAAAGTAGTAGGCACTCATGAATAGTTATTACTCATTACTCATTACTAATAAATTAAAGTGATCGAACTAATAATTACTTCTTTTAGATTAGAATTTTAAACAAATATAATAGGTATATTATCATCTATTACAATCTATTTGACACGTGGGTCATTGTAATGGATTATGGTATTAAATTTGAATCCAATAATATAATATCATTATATACGAAAAACGATTCTGAGCGAAGGCGGTTGGTCAGTCTATGGTATTTTATATTATTTTTATATTGTTATTACTAATTATTAATACGGTAGCCAGTATGTTGAATTAATATTGTAAGATTACAAAAAAAAACCTAAAATCTTTATTATAAGTTATTTACTATGTAAATTCGTCCAAATTTGAACATTAAATAACTATAAAAGAAAACGGTATTTTTTATTTTTATAATGTCTGGTTACAAAATAACCTACTTATGTAGATCCTTCTCTTAAATTGCAATCGTTAGCTATACAACTCAAACAATTTATACATTTTTAACAACTAATCATTTTTAAATTTTAAATTTGATATATTTTGTCAAATTTAATTTATATAAATATTTTTTGTTTGATAAAGGTATAAGAACTTCTCAAAATCTAAATCTTAGATTTAAAAAGAACATTTTTAATAAATTTCTAACTTAAAATAATTTGCACATTTCTATAATTTATGCGTATTTTGTCAAAATGTAAACTTTAAATGCTTATAAAAAAACATGTGCAAATGTATTTGTAATATTTTTCAACTACTAATGTAACAATATATCAACAGCCTTGTATTCCATTTTCATGCTTTTTGATCCAACAAATAAAATGTCATTGAAATATATAGAAAAAAATCAAAAAAATTTAAATTTTAAAATGTCCGTTAACAGCTAATAACGAGTCAAAATATTATCAAGGAATTGATAAAATAAATTTAAGATATAAATTTCAAGTATCTACAGTTATTAGTTTCAGAATTACAGCAAAACAAGAAAATAGCTTCATGGGAAATATCCAATGTTGTAAAAATTTGAACTTCAAACGGTCATAAAAATTTAATTTGACTTTCCGGTAGACAATGTTTTTTATTGATAAAGGTGGAATCTAATATAACATTTTAAAATCTTAGATTTAAAAATAAACACTGTTATGAATGTCGAACCCAAAATAATTTCCAAATTTTCTTGATTATATGTATATTGTCAACATTTTAACTTTAATTACTTTTAAAAATTGGTACTATGTGTGTTTAATAATTAATTATTTTCAATTGCCATTATAACAGTATATTATTAAGCTTTTTGACCTAACGAATACAATTTTATTGACATTTATCTACATATATAAAAATGAATGTATGTCTGTCTTTGTGTCTGTGTTTCTGTGTTTAAGTGTGTCCATATTACCATGGCAACCATTTATATATTATTTTGAGATTTCCGATGGAATTTTTTGTATATAAATGGTTGCCCTTGCGAATGTAATATTTAAAACATATTATTCATATAGGGTTTGCATTTTTAATGGGCAACGAAGTGTACGGGATCAGATATTTATATATAGATCGATTAGTCCTCTGAACAGAATATAGAATAATTTAAAAAGGGAGGGGACCAACCCCGGGAGGTGCTCAAACACGGATTTTGAGATTTCCGATGGAAATTATTGTTTATAAACGGTTAACATGGGTTGTAAAGCTATTATAATAATAATTATTGGTTGCCATTGGTTTAAAACATGTTCATATAGACTTGGCATTTTTAATAGAAAACGAAGTGAACGGGATCAGCTAGTAGGAAATAAAACTAAAGAAATTGGAAACTGAAAATGTCCGTAAACAGCTCAAAACTAGTCAAATTATTTTGAAAATGTTATAGTGTATAAGAAATTCTAATATAAACAATCAGTCAAAATGTATTGTATCTACAGACATTTGTCTTTGTAGAGTGAAATCAATAAGACTCAATTTTTGTCGTAAACAAATTTTGAGTAAAAATTTCCGTTTTGCCTTAATTTTTCTTTTGCTTTTCCCAGTGCTTTTGGAAACTACTGGAAAAGTTTTACTTTTCAACCCCCGAAGTACCATATTCTCTTTCCAAACAGAAAAAGTGCTGTTGAAGAAAATCTAATTATTTGTATTATCCTAAAAAGTGATAACAGACACAAAAAAAAATTAAAAAACAATGAAATTAAAAAAATCATACAGCACTGCAAACTCAATACATTCATCATTTGACTCAGAATCGAAGACTTTTTGCACTGGTTGTCATGCTTAGTAGTTATTTTATTAAAATAATTGATATAAATTTATACTATTTGTTTAATAGACGAAGAACTTTTTTTTTTTATTTATTTTTTTTTTTTTGTGTCTGTGTACAAGATTAGTAGTCGAAATAATGTTTTGATTTTCAACTTCAGTAACTTGTTCGATGGGAATGTGAATCTAGTTGATACTTTTGGGAGGTCAAAATTTAAAATTCCCAATAGTTTTCACAAGCGACAAGATTAACAAAAGAAAAATTAAGGAAAAACGGGAATTTTTGCACAAAATCGATTTTTCAAAAATTGAATTTGGTTTTTGGTGTAACTTTAAAACAACTGACCGTAGACACTTGAAATTTTCACTGGTTGTTTATATTTGCATTTTCTATACATGATAACATTTTCTAAATATTTTGATTTATTTTGAACTGTTTAGGGACATTTTCATTTTTCATTTTTTTTTAGTTTTTTTTCTAGAAATATCAATAAAATTTTATTTGTTGGCTGAAAAAGCTTGAAAATTTAATAGAAGGCTCCTAGTATATTTATTCAAAGGCAGATGAAAAATATTAAAAATCCTTAGTTACAGTTTTTTTTTCTAAGCATTTTAAGTTCATAAATTGACAAAATATGGAAAAATCACGAAAATTAGCAAATTATTTTGAGTTAAAAATTCGTAAAAATTTTTCTTTTTAAATCTAAAGTTTTAAAATGTGATACAAGATTCCTCTTAAGTTTGTCTACCTTTATCAAAAATAAAATTTCTATAAGAAAGTCAAATTAAATTTTTATGAGCGTTTTAAATTCAAATGTTTACAACATTGGATATTCACTCGATTTCTCATGTAGCGATTTACTTATTTTGTTGTAATTCAAAAACGAATAACTGTAGATACATGACAATTTCACTGAATGTTTAAATCAGCATTTTCTATACACCATAACATTTTGAAAATATTTTGGCTCTTTTTGAGCTGTTTACGGACATTTTCAGTTTTCAATTTTTTTAGTTTTTTTTTCTATAAATATCAATTCAGTTTTATCTGTTGGGCCAAAAAGTGTAAAAAATTAAATACAAGACTCCTGATATATTTTTATCAGTTAAAAAACATTAAAAATACATGGGCACAATTTATTTTTATAAGCATTTAAAGTTGGAATTTTGACAAAATGTATCAAAATCTCGAAAATTATCAATCATTGTAATTAATAAATTATAAAATGTTCAGTTTTTATAGCTAAGGATAGCAAATTTAAAACAAAGGTTCTCATAAATAGTTCATACTGTAACCAAAAAATCTAAAAAATATATGAACACAGTTATTTTTTACAGACATTTTAAATTCAAATTTGGACGAAATTACATATTAAAAAATCTAGAATAACTATTTTAGTTAATTTGTTGTGATTGAATAATATTATTCGTGGGTACTTGAAACTTCTAAAGTCTACTATTATATATCTATGATGGTATCACGGTTTTTGTTGATGTATAACGCGTTATAAGTACCTAATGGATATTGTGAGATGATTAATTTGGAATTTATTATAGGTAACTAGTATAGGTCAATTTTTTGTTTAATACCGTAGATATGTATATAATATATCTTATATCTAGACTGACATACCGTCTCCGCTCAGAATCGTTTTTCTTATACAATGATATTATATCATTGAATTCAAAATTCAAATTTAATACTATCCATTATACAGTGACAGACTTGTAACCTACTGTACAGCAGAGCGACACCCACTTGCCCACCTTTTTTATTTTTATTTGTAGTCGTTTCTATGGTGATAAACAAAGCGTAAAAAATTAAAATCATATTTTCAACGGTTTTTTGTTTTTCCCGTGGCATTAAATAACTATTGAGAAAATCAAAAAATGATCTGTTTAAAGTACTATCTTGATTCGATTTGCTAAAAGATAAAGTACTATATTATGGTGAAATCGAAGCACTCCTTCTGGTAGAAATTGTGTATACAGGATAAAAAAACAAAATTAACACCATTGTAAAATCACTATCTTCCTCGCTTTGTCCAGAATCTGAAAAGGGGACGGAGTGTACGAGCGGACTCGGTTGCCACGTCTCTGGAGAGAGAGTCCACCATCCCCCACCAGAGCATGGCAGATTCCTACGGGTGCTCACTTGAAAATTCTGCCGAATAATTTTTTTTTCTTATAAATGTAGACAACTTATGAGAAATCTTGTATTAAATTTTCAAATCTTAGATTTAAAAATAAACATTTTCATGCATTTCTAACTTTAAATAATTTAAATATTTTCGTGATTTTTACGTATTTTGAAAAACCAGTGAAAATCCCATGTATATACTGTTTTAGAGTTACACGAAAAATCAAAATTGATTTTTTCGAAAACCGATTTTGCGTAAAATTTGTTTTTCCCGACGCTTTTGAAAATGATTGAGAGTTTTAAATTTTGACATTCTGAATGCACTAACTAGATTTTATTTCCTATTGAACAAGATACTGTTGAAGAAAATCGAAGCAGTGTTACTGCTCCAAACGGTGGTGACAGATACAAAAAACACACATCATTGTAAAATCAATAGCCATTCTTTGGCCCTCTCAAAATCTAAAATTAAAATTAAATATGTCCGTAAACAGCCCAAAACAAGTCAAAGTATTTTGAAAATTTGATTGTGTCTTAAATCATTTGTATTAGAGTTACACAAAATACCAATATAAATTTGATTAAAAACCAATTTCTGTTTTCCTTCATTTTTTTCTCTGTTTTTCCAGCCAGCTTTGAAAACAACTGGGATTTTTATAATTTGCCCTCCCGAATGCACCAACTAGATTCACTTTCTCAACGAAAAGATACTGAAATCTGAAAACTTCTTAGAAAGTTTTACTTCTTTCTGTTTTACAAACACACAAAAAAAACAAACATCATTGTAAAATCAATACATGCATAGCTCCACTCAGAATCTAAAATTAGGAAAACAAATTTTTAAGCAAAATTAATTTCCTTCAAATCTGATTTTGTTATTTGGTGAAACTCTAAAAAAAATAACCGTACCACAGTAATATAAAATTTCCACCGATTTTTATATTAGGTACCATGTCTATACACAATAATATTTTGACTCTTTTAAAATATTTATAGGCAGATAAACATTATTTATGAGCGTCTAAAGTTTGACACTGGATATTACCTGGTCAATTAAGAAAATCTCATAGGAATTTTCTTATTTTGTTGTAATTCAAAAACTATTAACCACAAATACTTTAAATGTTCACCAAATATTTTTATTTTATTAATTTCTATAAATGAAAATTGAAAATTTTCAAAATATATTGACTGGTTGTCATGCTTAGTAGTTATTTTATTAAAATAATTGATATAAATTTATACTATTTGTTTAATAGACGAAGAACTTGATAAGAATGGACTTGCAGGATGAGCATTCAATAATTAATTTGAAGTTTATGAAAATTACCGGATTCTATCAATTGATAAGACCATCGGATGGCTTAAAATTATTCAATGTCAATATTTATATGATTGCATTCATCGTGCACATATTTATTCTTATTTTGGCTTTAATAATAGGCTTATATAGCACCTATTTTTGTATAAATGATGTAAATCAAATATTCAACTATAGTATAATGAATTTCTCTAATACCTTTGCAATTTTTAAGTGCTACTTTATAATCAAAAATGCAAAAACCATTTGGAATTTTACGCATATGATGTCCACAAATTTCATATCTTTTAAAAACCACACAAAAGAATTATATAAAATTGGTCGAACTAAATCCTCGACTTTGATGATAATTTCCATTGGTCTTTGGTCATCTACTGTATTATATTGGAGTTTGTATGCAATTTTAAACAGTAACAGCTATCTAAAAATTGAAACCGAAGGTGGGATATTCAGTTATCGATCTAATACTATTGGATTGATATATCCAGTAACTGATACATTTTTCAATAAATATTTTTATGTATTTTTTATAATTGAAACAATTTTCTTGATGTTTTGGGCTGAAATTATGTGGGTTTTCGATATTCTAATAATTTCAGTTTGTATATGTATTGAATACCAACTGAAGACTATTGCTGACTCGTACAGTTCACTAGGCCTCAATCATAATGAATCGACGGGTGAGTTATATTTTTAAAAATACCTGTTATGGACTTCATATATCCAAATGGAACAGAAAAACTTCACAAATATATTATATATTTTACTTGTATTCATCTTCAGGTAACAAACAATGTACCAAAAGTGTTGAAGCGATATTAGGTTTAAAATTACTAATTCAAGATCAACAAAAAATTTTAGAGTAAGTAAATATAATATATTAACATAATTCACTTTTAAGATTTTTTTTTGTTCTTTACTGGATTTCCAACGAAGACGGTAGTAACTCAATCTTATTATTCACAACGTCTTTGATTAAATGCTTCAATCAGCTTCGCCGGATAACCAGAAAAACAGTAACACTAGATTGAAAAAAAAAATCGTAAAAGTGAGATACTACTTTTTTCGTTGGGGCCTTCAAATTGTTCATCAACAACAAATTCACAGATTAAGATTTATTTTATAAGTATGATGATTTTTTTTGATTTTTAAATTATTTTTACGTTTTAACAGTAGATCTATAATGGTATTTAATCTATGTATTATTACTTTAAAACTAACTACTCCCTTTCAGCTTCTTAGTAATTATTATACCGTGTGTTCAATTTTAAAGGTAACAGGAAATATTTCGATCGTGTGACATTGAATTTGAATCGGGGTTTTTATACTGCATTTAGGACTTATAAATGCATATTTTTTTAATGAATTCAAATTTTTAATTTTTTTTTATCAGCGCATGCGCAGTAAAATAAAAATTTCTTAAATAGCAACCACTATTTTGGAGACCGGATTTCGATTTCTTTATTTTTTCTGAACAACTTTGATCTTTACAGTTTGTTGATATCTTCAAAATTGCCATGTTTATGACGGTCGGAAGTTTTAAAATAGTTGATTTGTAAATATTGCATTTTTCAACGGTCTATCTTAATTTATAGGTATTTATAGGTATTATTATAACAATTTATTTTTATTAAAAACTACTAAATTATCTACTACTATTATCTTAATTTGTTTTTAATAGTATTATAATGAAAGTTATACTATTAACCTGTGTGAATAAGATATTTTGATAGCATTCTAAAATTGATTGTGAATAGTCAAACGTTTTTCGTAAGTCGCGCGTGACACATTATTTTCTGTACAATGGCAAACTATTCCGAAAAAACCGATATGGTATTAATTTTTGGAGAATGTCATCAAAATTTGCGTAACGCAGCGGCACTTTATGCTGAACGATATCCCGAGAGATATCATCCACCACACAATTATTTACGAATTAACTATTTTAAAACTTCCAACCGTCATAAACATGGCAATTTTGAAGATATCAACAAACTGTAAAGATCAAAGTTGTTCAGAAAAAATAAAGAAATCGAAATCCGGTCTCCAAAATAGTGGTTGCTATTTAAGAAATTTTTATTTTACTGCGCATGCGCTGATAAAAAAAAATTAAAAATTTGAATTCATTAAAAAAATATGTATTTATAAGTTCTAAATGCAGTATAAAAACCCCGATTCAAATTCAATGTCACACGATCGAAATATTTCCTGTTACCTTTAAAATTGAACACACGGTATATATCTGATAATTTTTTATCCAGTGAATCTACATACATCACTTACTTGTATTATAAACAATAAGATGCTTAAACAATTTTATGTTTTCAGAAAAATGAAAAATATGTATCAAATACTTAAGGCAGCAACATTTATTCAACTAGCAGCTGAGTCATTTCAAATTATTTTACAGCCTTGTGTGATTTTAAAGGTGTGTTTAATACTATAACAAAAATGTTTTGTCTTATATTAATTTCATATTTGTGTTTTAGTTTTATTTTGATGGATTATTATCACCGACACTTTTTCTTAAGTTACTATTTCCAGAAATAACATATTTATGCCATTTATTCCTCACTTGCTACTTGTTTAGTATTGTTAATGAACAAGTATGTATTGTGTAACGTGTTTTGAAATAATATTTTTATAATAATATTATGGATTGAAAATTTAAACATATTAATATAATAATATTATACACATTATTCATATTATATGAGTAATAAGTATGCCCAGAATTTAACTTCAGACATATGTTTAAATGGTTAATAGCCAATATTATACTTACTTTAAAATAACATTTTTTTAAAAAAAAATGAATTATTTTTGAATAAAAATTTTAATTCATTTTTTAACAGTAAAGAAAGTGGATCTTTTTCTAGAAAATTATATACATTATATACTTTTTAGGTGATTTCATATTTTATATTTGAATTTCGTTGTAGAGAGAATCCATGAACTTCGCTCTTTATAGTAGCAATTGGACGGATATGAGTATTAAATTCAAAAAGTTACTATTGTTAACAATGAGGATGAATGATGCTGAGAATTTAAAGATGAAAATATCAATGAAGAGAGTGGTTAATATGGAAATGTTTGCAGATGTAAGAAAAATAAATATATTGATTAAAGTTATTCCATTATTGTAGACAGTTACATATATTTTGTTTTTGAAAACACTTTTTATATTATATATTATAATATAATATATAATAATGTATTCAAAACAAAATGAATATAGTTTAGTTAGGTTAGAATCATGAACATAGACACTTTTGATACGGGTGATGAACCATCCTCCTGGACCTTTTTTTGGATTCTGAGGGGATCGATAATGGTATTGATTTTAATTAGAAAAATGTTCATAGCCCCCCCAAACATTTCCTAAATTTTGTTTTAACCCGTAAGTGGTACGACATTTTAAGAAGTAAACCAAAACAAAAACTGCAGCGGTCTATGGGACCGGACCATACCACTTACGGGTTAAGCTTATTCAATATTATAAAAGTAAAGCTTTAGCCCCTCCAAATCCCAAACGCTATTTGCACCTATGGATCTAGTGGTTTTACAAAGGTGTTTATATTAAACTATTATTTACATATTATACTATGATAATACTTGGCTCCAGATATATTGTTACAGTAGGTAGCTGTAATGTCACATATTTTTTTTTTTAAAGCATTTCAAGTTCGAATTTTGACAAGATTTATTAAATTTAAAGGTTAAAAAGCAGGTAAGTTAAAGTCGTTCTGCTGTACAGACGTACAGTAGGTCACAAGCGGATCACTGTATAATGGATTGTATTAAATTTGAATTCAATGATATCATATAATTGCTTACGAGATAAGATTCTGAGCGGAGACGGTTTGTCAGTCTGGATATTTGATATTGTTATTATATTTTGTAATAGTCTGCATGTTGAATTAATATTATAAATTACAACAAAATAACTAAAATCGTTATTAGATTCTGAGTGAAACGATGAATGTATTGATTTTACAATGATGTGTGTGTTTTTTTTTATTTATTTTTTTTTTTTTGTGTCTGTGTACAAGATTAGTAGTCGAAATAATGTTTTGATTTTCAACTTCAGTAACTTGTTCGATGGGAATGTGAATCTAGTTGATACTTTTGGGAGGTCAAAATTTAAAATTCCCAATAGTTTTCACAAGCGACAAGATTAACAAAAGAAAAATTAAGGAAAAACGGGAATTTTTGCACAAAATCGATTTTTCACAAAATTGAATTTGGTTTTTGGTGTAACTTTAAAACAACTGACCGTAGACACTTGAAATTTTCACTGGTTGTTTATATTTGCATTTTCTATACATGATAACATTTTCTAAATATTTTGATTTATTTTGAACTGTTTAGGGACATTTTCATTTTTCATTTTTTTTTAGTTTTTTTTCTAGAAATATCAATAAAATTTTATTTGTTGGCTGAAAAAGCTTGAAAATTTAATAGAAGGCTCCTAGTATATTTATTCAAAGGCAGATGAAAAATATTAAAAATCCTTAGTTACAGTTTTTTTTTCTAAGCATTTTAAGTTCATAAATTGACAAAATATGGAAAAATCACGAAAATTAGCAAATTATTTTGAGTTAAAAATTCGTAAAAATTTTTCTTTTTAAATCTAAAGTTTTAAAATGTGATACAAGATTCCTCATAAGTTTGTCTACCTTTATCAAAAATAAAATTTCTATAAGAAAGTCAAATTAAATTTTTATGAGCGTTTTAAATTCAAATGTTTACAACATTGGATATTCACTCGATTTCTCATGTAGCGATTTACTTATTTTGTTGTAATTCAAAAACGAATAACTGTAGATACATGACAATTTCACTGAATGTTTAAATCAGCATTTTCTATACACCATAACATTTTGAAAATATTTTGGCTCTTTTTGAGCTGTTTACGGACATTTTCAGTTTTCAATTTTTTTAGTTTTTTTTTCTATAAATATCAATTCAGTTTTATCTGTTGGGCCAAAAAGTGTAAAAAATTAAATACAAGACTCCTGATATATTTTTATCAGTTAAAAAACATTAAAAATACATGGGCACAATTTATTTTTATAAGCATTTAAAGTTGGAATTTTGACAAAATGTATCAAAATCTCGAAAATTATCAATCATTGTAATTAATAAATTATAAAATGTTCAGTTTTTATAGCTAAGGATAGCAAATTTAAAACAAAGGTTCTCATAAATAGTTCATACTGTAACCAAAAAATCTAAAAAATATATGAACACAGTTATTTTTTACAGACATTTTAAATTCAAATTTGGACGAAATTACATATTAAAAAATCTAGAATAACTATTTTAGTTATTTTGTTGTGATTGAATAATATTATTCGTGGGTACTTGAAACTTCTAAAGTCTACTATTATATATCTATGATGGTATCACGGTTTTTGTTGATGTATAACGCGTTATAAGTACCTAATGGATATTGTGAGATGATTAATTTGGAATTTATTATAGGTAACTAGTATAGGTCAATTTTTTGTTTAATACCGTAGATATGTATATAATATATCTTATATCTAGACTGACATACCGTCTCCGCTCAGAATCGTTTTTCTTATACAATGATATTATATCATTGAATTCAAAATTCAAATTTAATACTATCCATTATACAGTGACAGACTTGTAACCTACTGTACAGCAGAGCGACACCCACTTGCCCACCTTTTTTATTTTTATTTGTAGTCGTTTCTATGGTGATAAACAAAGCGTAAAAAATTAAAATCATATTTTCAACGGTTTTTTGTTTTTCCCGTGGCATTAAATAACTATTGAGAAAATCAAAAAATGATCTGTTTAAAGTACTATCTTGATTCGATTTGCTAAAAGATAAAGTACTATATTATGGTGAAATCGAAGCACTCCTTCTGGTAGAAATTGTGTATACAGGATAAAAAAACAAAATTAACACCATTGTAAAATCACTATCTTCCTCGCTTTGTCCAGAATCTGAAAAGGGGACGGAGTGTACGAGCGGACTCGGTTGCCACGTCTCTGGAGAGAGAGTCCACCATCCCCCACCAGAGCATGGCAGATTCCTACGGGTGCTCACTTGAAAATTCTGCCGAATAATTTTTTTTTCTTATAAATTTTAGACAACTTATGAGAAATCTTGTATTAAATTTTCAAATCTTAGATTTAAAAATAAACATTTTCATGAATTTCTAACTTTAAATAATTTAAATATTTTCGTGATTTTTACGTATTTTGAAAAACCAGTGAAAATCCCATGTATATACTGTTTTAGAGTTACACGAAAAATCAAAATTGATTTTTTCGAAAACCGATTTTGCGTAAAATTTGTTTTTCCCGACGCTTTTGAAAATGATTGAGAGTTTTAAATTTTGACATTCTGAATGCACTAACTAGATTTTATTTCCTATTGAACAAGATACTGTTGAAGAAAATCGAAGCAGTGTTACTGCTCCAAACGGTGGTGACAGATACAAAAAACACACATCATTGTAAAATCAATAGCCATTCTTGGCCCTCTCAAAATCTAAAATTAAAATTAAATATGTCCGTAAACAGTCCAAAACAAGTCAAAGTATTTTGAAAATTTGATTGTGTCTTAAATCATTTGTATTAGAGTTACACAAAATACCAATATAAATTTGATTAAAAACCAATTTCTGTTTTCCTTCATTTTTTTCTCTGTTTTTCCAGCCAGCTTTGAAAACAACTGGGATTTTTATAATTTGCCCTCCCGAATGCACCAACTAGATCCACTTTCTCAACGAAAAGATACTGAAATCTGAAAACTTCTTAGAAAGTTTTACTTCTTTCTGTTTTACAAACACACAAAAAAACAAACATCAATGTAAAATCAATACATGCATAGCTCCACTCAGAATCTAAAATTAGGAAAACAAATTTTTAAGCAAAATTAATTTCCTTCAAATCTGATTTTGTTATTTGGTGAAACTCTAAAAAAAATAACCGTACCACAGTAATATAAAATTTCCACCGATTTTTATATTAGGTACCATGTCTATACACAATAATATTTTGACTCTTTTAAAATATTTATAGGCAGATAAACATTATTTATGAGCGTCTAAAGTTTGACACTGGATATTACCTGGTCAATTAAGAAAATCTCATAGGAATTTTCTTATTTTGTTGTAATTCAAAAACTATTAACCACAAATACTTTAAATGTTCACCAAATATTTTTATTTTATTAATTTCTATAAATGAAAATTGAAAATTTTCAAAATATATTGACTCGTGTTTTAATACATAGGTAGTAGAAATATATATTTTTTTAGTTCTCTTTTTTTCTAAAATAGTAAAATGTCAATACATTTCTAAAATTACTTATCTAGACACATACTGTACAGCAGATCAATACTCACATGTCAACTTTTTTTATATAATATATTATATAAGTGTGAAGGGCACTACCTTGTGATTTATCTTAAAAATTATGGATATAATATATCCTCTCCCCTATGCAAATCTATACCACTGGTTTAGATGGTATATTATATAAAATTGTATTATATTTATATTTTATAATCAGCTTAAAACATTATTGTGTTTATTACATTTTTGTTGTAGGTGGTGCACACAGCTTATAGTATAGTATCAGTGATGATGAAAAGTTTTAGTACCTGATCAAAGAAATATAATTATAAATAAACGAGAACACAATGGACTTTGGGTTGTATGAAATTTTCTTGTAGTTGACGTGCATTTTTTATTTGGTAAATTATTTCTTGAATACATTTTGTATTTTATAGAAGTAATAATTTAGTCAAAAATCACCATATTAAAATATCTATGTAGACAAACTATTTTAAAATTTTCAAAAATTGTAGAAAAATGGGTATCACTCATTAGAAAAATGAAAAATGTTATAAAAATAAATAATATTACCTCAAATTCTATTATCGTGTGATTTTTTGTAATATTGTTTGTTATATTTGATATACATATAATATGTAATATCTCCCAGACAGAGATGGCTACAGGTTAGTTAATGAGTGTCACCTTATGAGGATATTTGGATATATTTAAGGTCACCTGGTGAGGCCGGGGCGACGTGGATTTTTTATGGTATAGTTAACAATTTTAATGCTAAGAATAATATAACTCACAACATATTTTAGGAAGAAAAAAAAGGTTGATACGGTGCAGTAGGCTATGATACCGACCGTCTCGTGTAGAAATGAATATCACTCAGTCTTATCACATTTTATTCTTTATATATATATATATATGGGGCGAGTGAGGTTCATGGATGTGTCGGCCAGACTAATACAAGCAGGATGACGCGGTGAGGGCTCGTATTCGACCACCGATATTAGTCGTTAGGTCCTACCACATTTAATAAGAAAATAGGGTAACAATGTGGGACGGAGTAACAACTATGTAATTTTATTTTTAGTAGATTTGACAATATTGTTGTATGCTTATTGCAAATTGATGTTGATGACAGTTATACGTAATGGCAAGAACAACAATGAAGATAAACTAAGGGCACCTACTAGGAGTTTTTCATTGTAAATTGTTAATAATAATATTTGAAAAAAACATAATGAATCGAAATGAAGTGTCGTCAAATTTATACCCATCAAAATATCGTAGATAAGCGTAAAATTTATTGTCTTGCGTCGAAATGACCGTATCCATTTGAAGTGGCAACTTGTGTGTTATATACGTCTGTGGTTATATAAAGATACGCTTAAAAATATCTATGGATTAACATATAAGAGATAGTTGGTAGAATAAATATCTAGATGGAGATAAATAACATAAAAATTGTATCTAGATAAAACAAAAAATTTTAATTTTCTAAAACTAAAGGAAAAAGTGTTGTACCTATACGTTCGTAGATATTAAAATTATAGTGTGATTGATTAGACTTAACTTATAAGCTGAATTAATATTATATTTAATAAATATATTAATTAGTAATTACCATTTTTTTGATTTTTCAACTATAACTCAAAAAGTAAGCTTGAGTGTAAATTTTGAAAATTCTATATTGAACGTCGTAACATGAAAATTAAAAATGGTTTATTAATTACCTACATACCTATACATAGTTTCACCAAATTAATATTATCACTCCATAAACTATTATCGTATAATATCGTATTTTGTTTTTATGAAATTACAAAATAATGAATAAAAATCAACTAAACAATTTATTATGAATTATAATTTAACAAATATAGGTAACATATAACAATTAAATAAATTTTTTGAAAACGCTCTAACAAATTAATAACAATAATACAATTATTGATACAATTTCTAATTATTGGATACCTTCATTATTTTCGCGTATGGTCGTGCGTATGGTCTATGTGCCTGGAAGTTCTCCTAATTACAACAAAAATATTATACTATCAATATTAATTGTAATTAAAATTCACCACAATTAGCAAACGGTATATTTCAATATTAATAATAGAAAGTACATTATTTTATAATCAGAGTTCAAGTTACAATAATAATATGTAAATTTGTGTTCAGAAGGCCGGAGTGTTCATAGTATTTGAAATATAACCGTGGAATGCCAATTTGTGTAGAGTTTATACACAAATAGGTATGTATAGTATGTTTGTACAGCTTTGGTGGTATATTACGGTTGTTTAGACGTATTAATATACTCACAAAATGTTCCTTTTCGGATTCTTTTATTTTGCGTTTATCGTCTAATGACAAACCTTTTAACATTGCCACAATGAGGTCAATAGAATTCACCTAATAATACAGATATAATATTGAATTTAGTTTTACATCATAGGAAGATACTAATTTCTGTTTTTCAAAGTTATCTGTATAATATTAGTTCTTAAAATTGTAAAATAATTAAATTATAGACTCATTATGTATTGATCGGTTCATAATGATATTATCATAATTATAGCATATTAGCATAGCATGGTCATGAATTTTTTTTATTTTTTTTTATTTAATACTTATTATTTTTAAATTCAAAATACAAAAACAACGTTATATTGTTTTTTGAAATATATCTAAAATACAAAGTTAAGTTAGGGTAGGAATTTATGCCATAATTATGGTAGGTACAGTAATTACTCTGTTTTTATGATTACATAGCAGGTATATTTTAATTTTATATAGGTATATACGAATATACGATGAAGTAGATAGGTAAACGATAGTATTAATTATAGCTTGTATACATAATTTATATTATAAACGTATCTATCTGCGAATTACTTTTTAAAGGACAACGGTCAAACACAAAATGTAGCCACTATAATTAAGCGTTCTTATAATTAAAAAGAAATATGTAGGTGAACGAATGGTCTGTATAATATCAGTAAGTATCAATTAAATAAAGAGGATGGTTAACATTTTCTTTCCATTAAAATATTCTACAAGAGTCCAACTTTGTGATTTGTAAAAAATACGTATACCCACAGAGAACACATAAAATTAAGAAATAATAAAAATATACTTAAGAAATCAATACTAAACCAATTATTGGTTTCAACAATTTACGTAAGTTTGTTTGATCTTATAAAAGCTTTCAATGTAATTCTTAGAAACATTTCTAGATATTTTAGCAATTTTATGTTGATACTGGTAGTGCTTATATAGGTGCAGCACTATCCATTATAATAATATTATCTTAACCTGCATTTAAATTACTATTATATTATGTAGAGAGTACACAATTTGCGTCACATCCAAAAATAATTTTGGCAGTATGAGCCACTTTTGAGGTTGTAGTTTGTGCCACATATAACTAAATAAAAGTACATCACTACCAACTAGGTAAATAAATTACCTTATTCACAATAATATCCACCCACTTGTAATCTACTGTACAACAGAGAGACACCCACTGCCCTACTTTTTATAATATTGTAATTGATTCATCATCAATTTTATTTTATTATAGATGGTGCATTTCAAGAAAAATATTAAAATGTAGGTACACAAATTAAAATGAAAATGTAAGCTACCTATTTGTAGTTGAAGATATATACCTACGTACTTAGTGTATAAATAAATGTCCGTTAGTAGAATAACTTATATTTCATTTTCCATGTTATTTATTCAAGTTTTATGTGCTTTAATAAATGTGAGCCCTGTAAATTGAACAGGTAAATGCCAATAATTTAAATTTAAATGTTGATAAGATTAGTAAAATTGATATTATTTAAATGTGGCGCAAATTACATTCCTCCTGATTTAAATGAATCTAATGGTGGAGAAAATTAAAAGTACTAAAATTTTCGCAAAATACCATCTCCCATAATATCCACTATCCTTATCCACTACGTCATACGAGATTCTCAACCATTTTTTTCACAAAAACGTTCTAACTTAATCCCAAATAAATGGGAACACACTTGAACTATTAAGACCAAAGAGTATTATAAAAAAAATTAAAATCCTAAAATGTGTGTTAGACAATTTTTTTTTTTTGCTGACACATCACTTAATATCGTGACATAGCGGTTGAAAATTACACGTATTATGTTTAAATTATGTTGATAAAACACAATTTAATATATTATATTCTTGGATTATTATTTTAACAGAAATCACAAATAAAAATCAATTAAACGATGATACCAAATACAAGAACAAAATATATAATGAATATAAAACTGATGAAGTTGACCGGATTATATCAATTATTGAACCCAGACACTCCAAAATCATTCGGTTGTAATATTTTCAAGCTAGGTGGAACTCTTGGAGCAATATTTCTTGTATTAACATTTCTAATGTGTAATTTAAGTATATACTATTCTCTAAACGATTTTACCGAAGCCGTAAAATATTTCATGTTAATAATTGCGACAGTATTTGCATTGACCAAAATGAGCTTTATAGTTTTAAATTCAAATGCATTATGGAATTTAATCAGCTTCACGTCAATAGATTATTTTACATACAAAGACCAACCAAAATATATGCTAATTTATGCTCGAAAATTGTCGATATCAATCTCAAATATTTTCACATTGTCTTGGATTGTAGTAATATCAGTATGGGTTTTATCTCCAATTGTAATTAAGGACAATTTTATGAACGTTAAATCCAAAGATGATACATACAATCAATATCGATACAACATGCTCAATTTAATATTTCCAGTATCAGCTCAATTTTATAACAACAATTTTATAGTGTTTTATTTACTTGAGTCAATAGCATTAATAGCTTATGGTTATTCCATGATGGTTTTTGATAATTTGGTGGTTTCTTTGTGTATAACAATCACATACCAGTTAAAATCGATTGCATTATCATACAGTACACTAGGTTATGATAATATCGACATCGATTTTAAAAGTACTGGTAAGTTTTACTTTTTATGTATACAATAATATTATGTTAGCATTGTAGAATCATATTTAATACAACTGTACAGTCTAAATACTTAATTACATTATAGTGGTTTTAATTTTGTATAATAATAATTAATAATATTTGAGGGGGACGGAGTGGCCGAGCGGACTAAGGCGTCGGTTGCGACGAGCACCATCGTCGGTTCGAACCTCCGTCTCGAGCGGCACTTCTCTTCGGACAGTCACTACGTTGTCTGGAGAGAGATGCCGCCATCTCCCACCCGGGCATTCTAGATGCCTACGGGTGTCCACTTGAATATTCTGCCAAACTAAAACATACGTGTTTACAAAACCTACAGTAGGTACCCTCCACCACAGTTAAAAACCACCCAATGTCCTAAGTTGCCGCTGGTTAATTAATAAAATAAATAATAATATTTGAATCTCAATAGTTAGGTATAATATTATATTTGTAAGTACTTCAAAGTAGGTATTAAAAGTTTTTAATTTTACATCATTAATTAAAATATTCAAAAAATAAACTTTTTAATACGTTTTGTATAAAACTTTACAATATTACTATTATGGTTGATAGTTACTATTAACAAATAAATAATCATTTATGTAGGTCCTACATTGCTACTCATGAATTCATGATAATATAATTTATTACTGTAATAGTAGATTAATAAATTCTAAAAAACAACTAAAAAAACACTTAGTTATATTTTATCTGATCGTATTTTAGACGTGGAAAACAAATCATTAAATGAAAGATCAAATGACTACAACGGCTTAATATTTATAATTCAAGATCATCAAAAATGTATAAAGTATGTTACTAAAAAAATCAATGTTTTTATCAATGTTTTTGTGTATATTTTTCCAGAGATACTAACTTAAAAATATACATCTATTATTATTATTATCTTTTTTTATAATTTCAAACGTCTCATAAACACTGCTGTTATAGGACAATGAACGAAGTTTATAACGTGTTGCGTCCAATTTTACTTTTTCAACTGTTGGCCGAATCAACATTAATAACCGTACAGCCCTTTTTAGTTATATTGGTAAATATGATTTCACACAAAACGTACTTATTACTAACTAAATAAATGTTGTGTTCATTTTAGAATATCAATAAAGGGCTTTCACCGACTTCGCCGGAAAGTATTAAATTAATATTATCTGCATTAACAAACATGGTTCACTTATTTTCAACTTGTTATTTATTTACTATAATTAATAATCGTGTAAGTATACTTATAATACAAATAAAAAAACACATAATTTTACACATTATTACGTACCTATTAATGTTTTATTAAAAAACACTGTACAATTTAATATTTTAAATAAATAACTGTTGACAATCATAATATTATAAATAAATTATATTTTATATGCAGGGTGATTCACCAAACATGCTCACCCCTTTTCTCTTTTTCCTCAAATAAATTACTCAAATTTTAATTTTTAGAATTTCTAAGTATAACTATTACTACTTAAATTATATATTTTTAATGATACAGATATTTTATACCATAACATGGTGGTATAGTGTAGTATAACTTTAGTAACTTATTTATTAAAATGAAAATGATAATTTTCAGATGATTATTTTCAAAATGTTGAACGTTGATGTATATGCTGATTTGTATGTTGATAATTAGAAATTGAAAAAAGTAGTTTCCGATTTATTAAAATCAATATACTTATAAGAATAATATTCTTTAATAATACTTATAAAGTAAATGCAATAATATATCTAGTATACATCTTGATAGATTAATATTTAAATTATCATAGGCCATAATATCGTTCATACATATTTCGTGTACTTATTACAAAAAGTAATGTCACTCAAAAATTACAAGTTAGAATTTTAATTATTAGGTACATCGACATTTTCAAAACAGTCATATTATCTTAACAATTCTCAAGAAAGTTAATGGTTGATAGGTACTTTTTGAAAAAAATAAGTTGGTATCTTGAAACTTAATTATCCAGCTAAGGGAATCCCCTTAAATAGTATAATAAAGTATTTGAAGTATTTGAAAAATGAAATCATTGAGTAATACTATTATACTTAAAAAGGACAACATAGGGATGAGAATCAACATGTATAGACGACTTTAGACATTTATTCAATATTGTACATTTGTAGCGTTTATATTGCTAAATTTGTTCACTAATGAGCTGCGTATGTATTACTTTTTTTTAAATCCTCATGTCATAATTTAAATACATACTTACAAAAAATAATATAGAGATCAATAAATAAAAAAATATTTCTATTTCATTAAAACTTATAATAGGTACTCTTATGTATTACGTTATAATACTTATTGATACTTATGAATGTATTTCAGAAATACGATATTAATTTTGCCTTGTATAGTTGCAATTGGACAGAAAAGAACATGATGTTTAAGAATTTATTATTATTTTCAATGCAAATTAATAACTCGGAAAAGTTGAAACTAAAAGCGTCTGCACAAATGATAGTCAACTTACAACTGTTCACAAAAGTAACTATGTGCATAATTGTTTGTATTTTTCAATTTTACTAACGTTAAAATATTATATTATTCTACCTAACAACTATAGCGGTCCCACACGGAGTTGTCCAGAGAAAGATTTTTTTGTTTTCTCTAAATGGACATATGTGTCATATTCCTACCGTGGATTGAATGCTTTTTCTGCGTCATGTATTCTGAATTACAATTTTAATTGTATGGTTAAGTTTATTTTCTTCTTTCGAAAAAAACTATAAGATCACCTCTTTCTTCACTTAATTTTTTTAAACATATTTTTAGCAATACCGACTGGTTTTTACTCTAATCCGTTGATTTGGTGGTATTTAGGACCGCATATGTTACTAATACAATATCCCAATCTTTTTAAATGTTTTTTAACATTAATAACGACTACATGTTTTTATTTTTTCAGGTAATTCAAACTACCTACAGTATAGCGTCAGTTCTGGTAAATCATTACAGATAGATGCATTGAAACTGAAGAAAGTATTTAGTGGGTATATAGGTACACGTATTGAAAATATTTCACAGAATAAAACACTCCGATGGAATTACAATACTATGGCGAATAGACGTAGTCAGCTACTCAGCTAATACGACTGTAACGACCGGAATTCAACTTAACGTTTCTATGGCAAAAGACAAAGCGTTGGGAAAAAAAATCTGTTCAAAAAATTGTTTTATCCAACCCAAAAACATATCTAGGTACTCGTATATGTAAAAAAAGTTACCAATATCATTACTAACTCACAAAAATAAAATGATTATATTAATAATCCATTGGTGTTCTTCTCCGTTTACTATTATGTCTTCTCTTAGAATAATTGTGTAGGAATTATCCAAATTGAATATTGAACCAATTATCAATAAACTTTATCAGAGGCAATTAAATCCAGTGGAACAATCATAATATAATTCAATGTTAGCATTTAGAAACGATTAGATGACCAGACATACCTGTATTTAATTAATAAGTCATATTATATAAGGACTTGGTATAATATCGACACGATATTGGTATTACCTATACCTAAATATGTGTGATGGTCGATGGACTATTATATATACAATTATGACTATTAGTAGACACAAAGTAAATAGAACCGAGAATGGCGTATGAACGGAGAAAATGGATAAAGGATACGCACATTTCTACAGACTCAAAGATTTATTGGTATTAATGAAAACAAGATAATAATCATGTACTTCGGATTATAAATGGCAATAAGGATACATTTATCACATGATAGTATATAAGATCTTGTTGAGGTTTGCATTTATCGTAGACTTGAAAGTTTAAATCCGATAAATCTGTATATCGTTCTTGATATCAAATATTTACCTACTCTAATTTTACGAGTAGTAAATTATTTCTGTAGTTTACCTATATTTACATTTGTATATATTTTTTGATATACATTTTTGTAAATAATGCTTAAGTATGGGTATAATATTATGCCAAAAAATACATAAAACTTAAAAACAAAAATAATGATTTCCAAACGATGTACATCAAATATGCAGGTAGGTATTATGCTATAATATTTTGAACTGTGAACTAAAATTATGCAATTTAATTTTTAGATATTCTAACTATTAAGTCTAATATAAATCCAGTATTATAAATATTTATATCGTTGTCTAACACCATAATTTTTTTTTCATCTTGAATTTTTTAGTTTATTTGGTTGACTTATTATATTATTTAGTTTTACATAAGCAAGGACCTAACAGTGGCAGAGTTTTCATATACCCATTCCAGGTAAGAAAATTAAACTGACGGAGTTTATAACCACCCATAAATTAATAGGTCAGTCGTATTTTTAATTTTATATTGATTCGGGTAAAGGTCGTTTGAGTACCGTTTACTATGTTACCTATTTAATTAGTATTGTTATATAGGAGCGATATACCAACTAAGTTTGTGTAATATGAAATTTTTTTGTAGTTGATATGTATTTTTAATTAGTAAATTAGCAAAATAATTGTGATTTCTGTAATAATTTTCTTTTTTTATAAAGGTTAGTATTTGGACTAAAAATAACGATATTAAAAAATATGTAGACAAATGACTGTAGGATAATAAGGTATTCTAGACCGAAAGGAGGATCACAGGAGAATACTAGAGTGGTTTCATGTCAGATAGATTAACAACAGACCATATATTCGCGCTGAAACAAGTAATAGAAAAATATAAAGAATTTAATAAGCCATTACACTTAATCTTCATAGACTTCAAACAAGCATATAAGCTTCAGTAAAGAGAGCACAAACATGAGGATCCATTAAAAGTTGTTGTGATTCCTCCCAAAACTAATATTGATGATAAGAGTGGCCAAGGAAGGATCGAGATGCGCTGTAAAATTTGGTCACGAAAAATCAGAAGAGTTCCAAACCACAACAGGATATGAAAACAATAAGGTGATGCACTTTTACCATTAATCTTTAACCTAGTACTGGAGGCAGCAGTAAGGGAAGTACAAGAACAATATCAAGGAGTCAACTGTGGCTGAATATATTAAATAATGTTCAATTTTAATTTCTAAGGATTGAAAATGTAAAACAAGGTTTATCATAGGGTTAACAGACCAGTGATTTAACAGTTAAGAATGTGCTTCCTATCAAAATTGATTTATAAATTGGTTTTCAGCATCTTAATTTCACAGTTTAGAGTCTAATCTTTGGATTTTGAGATTGGTACAACCGTTTATTTTTAAACTAACATTAAGAAAACTATATAAAACTAAATGACTATAAATCATATTAGTTAATAAAAAAAAAAAATTGAAAGCCCAGTAATTGAACACTTCAAACCCAGTGTATTCGCCTTAAAATATTTGTTAAGACAATTTGTATTTAATATAATTTGTGAATAATAAGTAGTCGGTACCTTTAATATAAAATATCACAAATCTTAAAATTTAAGATTATATTATATTATTATATTATATTTAATATAGGTAATATACATAGGTGTAGGGATCAAAATTTCCAAAAAAAAAAACCTGGGTTTTTTCCCGTTTTTCGGAAAAATTGCGAAAATTTGGTTTCATTTAAAATTGCAGGGAAAAATGGTTTTAACGAAGAAAACTGGTTTTTTTCCTAAAAAAATTTAAAAATAATAATAAATAATTTACAATGATATAAAAATATATTATCGTATCCCGCATTCCGCCAATGATTTTTTGTTGTTACGTATTTTCCTAATAATTATTAATTAATATTGTCATTATATACTCATTCCACATTTGTCAATCTATATATTTTATCTATAACTTATAAGTAATAATATTAATTATATAACATTTTAAAATACAGGTGATTTATTATATTTTCGGGGAAATACACTCTCCCACATAAATACCAATTTGATATGTAACTAGGTTATTCTTGGAACAAATATTGAAATATCCATATTAACATTTTTAATAGTTTAATTTTAAATTTTAATACAATAATACATTGATATAACCGTATTGGCAAATGTGAAATGACAATGAGATAGGTTTCCTTATCTATTTTTAAAATAGTACAATAATACAATTTTTTAATTTTCCGAAAACTTCGGTTTTTTTAGTATTATTTTAATATTCTCCAATTTTTCCATGTTTTCCGAGGCTCTGAGAAAAAAAACGGTTTTCTCCCGAAATTTTCCCGAATTTTTCGAGAAATTTTCCGGCATTTTGGTCAGTAAGATAGGAAATAATTTTTCATCGACAATCATTTATAAGAATTCAAAATTTCTCATGGCTATAAATAGCTTAAAAAGAGTTAAAAATATTAAAAATTTTACCATGACGTATAGAAAATGTTTTAAAAATTTTAGTGAAAATGGTACAATGGTACAAAATGGTACAAATTTGATCCAAAAACATGAAAATTCGATCACAGTGATTTCGAATTTATTGCTTTCACTTGTTTGTAATCACATGTTAACTATCAAATTGTGGTTATACAATATGTTTATTATTATAAACAAAAATTATTTATTCAATTAGATATCTAGATTTCTCAATTATAAAACATTTGTTGGCGTTGTTCAATTACTGGAGGGTGTTCAATAACTGTAACCAAAATATGTAAAAAAAAATTACAAACACGGTTTTATTTTTGGTCTTAAGACAGCTGCAGCATATTGTTATATTGAATACAGATGACATTTTCAAATGCAATTTTTTTTTTTGGCTTAAATGTATTCAACCTACAGTCGAATAATTAAGTAAATTATTTTTTTTTTTTTTTTAGTTGATCTTAAGCCCGGCGACTATGGCCATTAGCTGTATGGTTTTTGTAGGTTTTTATGTGAGTAGGGGGGAATACGTGTCTGTTGGATTTGGCAGAATTTTTGATTGGTCACCCGTAGGTATATGCCATGCCCGGTTGGGGGATGGCGGCACTTGTTCTCCAGGCACATTGACTTGCCCGAAGAAAAATGCCGCCCGTGACCAAGGTATCGAGCCAGCGTCGTCTGCGTCGCAGCCGACGCTTTACACCGCTCGTCCACTCAGTCACCCCACCCATAAATTATTTTAATAACAATAATAATATCATAAAATATTTGAGCATACTTTGCAGTATATAGTACAGGCTGACAGACCGGCTCGCTCAGATTCCTACCCTCCTTACCTAATGTTTTTTATTTATTTTTAATTAAATTTTTTTTTGTGTCTGTCATCACGTTTTAAGACAGTAAAAGTGCTTGGATTTTCTTCAACAGTAGCTTTTCTGATAGGAAAGTGAATCTAGTTGGTACTTGAAGGGGGGGGTGTCAAAAGTAAAAATTTCCCAGTAGTCAAAAGCGGCGTGAAAAACAAAATAAAAATTAAGGAAAAACGGGATTTTTTACATTAAAATCTGTTTTCAAAAAAATCGATTTTGGTTTTTGGTGCAACTCTTAAACAAATGACAGTAGGCACATAAAATTTTGACTAAATGTTTATATTAGCATTTTCTATACACGATAACATTTTCAAAATGTTTTGATATATTTTGAACTGTTTAGGCACATTTTCATTTTCCATTTTTTTTTAATTTTTTCTCTAAAAATATCAATAAAATTTTATTTGTTAGTTAAAAAAGCTTGAAAATTTATTACAAGGCTCCTACTATATTGTTACAATAGCATTTGAAAAATATTAAAAATACATAGGCACAGTTTATAAGCATTTAAAGTTCAAAAATTGACAAAATATGGAAAAATCACGAAAATTAGCAAATTATTTTGAGTTAAGAATTTGTAAAAATTTTTCTTTTTAAATCTAATATTTTAAAATGTAATACAAGATTCCTTATAAGATTATATACCTTTATCAAAAAAAAAATGTCTATATGAAAGTAAAATTTAATTTTTATGGACGTTTAAAACTCAAATATTTACAACATTGGATATTCACTCAATTTCTCATGTAGCGATTTCCTTATTTTGATGTAATTCAAAAACGAATTACTGTAGATAAATGCAAATTG